AAACCTTTGTCAAGCTTGACAGTACAGAGTCACATTCACAACCTTTATAATGCAGAAATATTATTATAATAACATTAAGAAAATATTGAGAATGTTGCCAAAACCGCTTCCCTCCACCTGCGTAATATCACTAAGATTAGAAACATTGTGTCCAAACATGATGCAGAAAAACTGGTTCATGCATTTATCAAGTCTAAACTGGACTACTGTAACTGTTTATTATCTGGATGTCCAAATACTTCATTGAAATGTCTTCAGCTGATCCAAAATGCTGCTGCCAGAGTCTTAATGAGAGTTGATAGGAGAGATCAAATCTCTCCAGTTTTAGCTTCTCTCCATTGGCTCCCTGTCAAATCCAGAATAGAATTCAAAATCTTACTTCTAACCTACAAAGCTCTCAACAACCTGGCTCCATCTTATATTACAGATCTTATTGTTCCATATTATCTGAACAGAGCACTTCACTCTCAGACTGCCAGCTTACTTGTGGTTCCTAGAGTTTACAAAAACAGAATGGGAGGCAGATCTTTTAGTTATCAGGGTCCTCTCTTGTGGAACCAACTTCCAGTTTCTGTCTGTGAGGCTGACACATTATGCAGTTTTTAGACTGGGCTTAAGACTTTCCTTTTTGTTAAATAGTTAGGGTCGGCTTGGGTTTCCTAAGCTGTCCCTTAGTTATGCTGCTATAGGCTTAGACTGCTGGAGGACAAACTGACCACACTTTTTCACTCTGCTATTGTCTTTACTTACTCTGCTCAACCTGTTTTGTATTTGTAATTATTTTTTCTATCCTTAACATGTGTTTTTTTTTTTTTTTTGTCTTTCAGGTACACCTGCACCTATATCTGGACTTATATCTGGACCTATATCTGGACCTGCCATTCTGTGTTTGTTTGTCTCTCCTTCCTGTCCTCTCAACCAGCTGGTCAAAGCAGATGGCCGCTTGTCCTGAGCCTGGTTCTTCTGGAGGTTTCTTCCTTTTAAAATGGAGTTTTTTGTTTCCACTGCTGCCACTGTGCTTGCTCAGGATGGGAGACTGAAACAAAGTGAAGATTCAACGAATCTGCTGGATTCCTTAGATAGAGAACTTTACTAATTGGCTTTTATGTGAATGTTCCTGTAAAGTGCCCTGAGACAACTTTGTTGTGATTTGGTGCTACATAAATAAACTGAATTAAAACTGAATGTAAGGATGGTGCCTTCGGGTAGCGAGTTCCCATCCTTACACTCCCTGGTCTCCCTGTTGATTATCTTGATTATTTCCACGCACGTGTCGTCCAGGTGTTTGTGACTGTCACCCTGTGTGTGTGCGAGTATGAAAGTCTGTGTCATTGTGTCACTCATTGTCGGAGCAACGTCTGGTGATCGTCTGGTTTTCCTGAGTCCCTGATATCTCCTGAGTGTTTCCTACGTGTTCCCAAGTTTGTGAGTAAGCTGCCACACCAGTGTCTTTATTTTATATTCATTAAAGTGTTTTATTTATTTTTACTCCTCGTGCCTCCGAGTCCTGCCTGCACACTGGGTTCACCTCACCATCGAATCCTGACACTGAAAACTGAAATGAACTGAATTAGGCTCTATGTGAGATGGATCATCACAAAGTAAAAATACTGAATTGTGCTCTGACAGATCTGGATTCCAGATCTTTTTCAGAGAAAATAGAACAAAGAAGAAAAGCAACATCCAGTCTGTTGCTGTCAAACGGTCCAAAAGCCTGGTTCATTTTTGGTCTGGACTTGGATCAGCTTTCTTTGATGGTCTGGACTTGGATCAGAGTTCTTTCATGATCTGTACTTGGATCAGTGTTCTTTGATGGTCTGGATGTGAATCAGTGCCTGGACTTGGATCAGTGTTCTTGATGGTCTGGACTTGACTTGGATCAGAGTTCTTTCATGATCTGGACTTGGATCAGTGTTCTTTGGTGGTCTGGACTTGGATCAGTGTTCTTTGATGGTCTGGACATGGATCAGTGCCTGGACTTGGATCTGTTTTCTGTGATAGTCTGGACTTGGATCAGTGTTCTTTGGTTATGGTTTTGCAGGAAGTTTTTCCTGTTTAAAGGGAGTTGTTCCTCCCCACAGTTGCCCTGTCCTTTCTCAGGATGGAGGATTAAAGTAAAGATTTGGTACAATCTGATAGTTGTCTTAAACAACATTTGACTAAATGGCATTTTGTAATTAATGAATTTGATTGTGTTATGTTATTGGATTAAACTGTGTACTGGAGCTGGATTTGTTTTTAAGATGAACTGGATTAAATGGAATTCAATAGGACTTGATGTATTTTTTTCTCATGCCCTAAATTAACAAAAAAAAAAGTTAAATCGTGTCATCTGGACCAGTTTCTTTAAGTGAGAAACGTTTTGTCCCCCATCCAGAGGACTTCCTCAGTCGACGGCCAGCCAACCAGATCTGTCCCATAAGTAGTCTTCACTGCTGTGTTTCAAGCCAACCTCCTGTTGGAATCTCAAAAGTATGCTTTTAATACATGCAAAACACACCCATCCAAAACAATCAGTCATCGTGTACAACAATCAAATGTTTTAGGCAAGATGGCCAACTTGCTACTCACAGAAACAGCCTGAGAACAACAAAGGCCAAAGTGGTTCAGAAAAAGGTTGTAAGCTCAGTCATCCACGTTGATTGACAGACTGTAGATTGAGGAAGTCCTCTGGATGGGGAACCAAACGTTTCTCACTTAAAGAAACTGGTCCAGATGATACAATTTAACCTTTTTTGTTGTTATCTACCTGGATGATTGAACGTACAACCTTTTTTCATGCCCTAAATTATTTTTCAGTGAATTTGGTGACATAAATAAACTGATTCATATCCTGATGCTGCTCAATAATCCAGGTAGATAAATCTAAGAAGGCTAAGTCAGGTCCTCTGGACGGATTCTTCTTACCCTTGTGCGATCTTAACATTCTGTTTACTCCCCTTGTCATAACACAACATAACAAAATGTTGCTTAATTTTGTGAACAATTTTCAACATCAACTGTGTTTAGCACATGTAGAACAGTATGTGCGAACATGAGAATGGGCTTTGCAGATGTATTTTTCACATGTGCAGCACACAGCTTTTGTCTTGCAGTCCTTCTTCCAGGGGCAAAACTGGCACCTTTTTTCCAACAATTTTCAGTCAGGTCATCTGGACGGTTTCTTTTTTTTTTTCTGAAACATTTCACCTTCCATCCAGAAGTCTTCATCAGTCAAGGAAACTCACAACACAAAACTGATTCTTCCCCCAAACAGCTGGTTTGTTCCCTCCAGCGTGGAACAAACCAGTTATGTTGGTGCTAAGATGGTGTCTTTGGCACACCCCCTCCTCTTGTGCTGGCCCTCTTCCTCGTCAACAGCAAAAAAAAAAAAAAAGAAACTGTCCAGATGACCTGACTGAAAATTGTTGGATTTGTATACCTGGATTATTGAGCATGGAAGTTTTTGGCACTTTTTTCTTTTGACTGACCCAGCTGCAGCCTCAGGTGGATCAGGACAAGATTCAGCTCCCTGAACAGTTTCCACAATGGCTGCAGAGGCTTCTGTGCAGGGCAGGCACTCCCTTCTCTCAATGCACGGGGTAAATGGTAAATGGATTGTACTTATATAGCACCTTTCTATCTAATCAAGATACTCAAAGCTCTTTACAACAATCTGTGCCACATTTACCCATTAATTCAGCACTCTACTAGATCTCTACAAAGATAACTGAACAAATTATTCTAAAGAGACTAATCAGAGCTTTATCACATTCATGCACTGATGGGACACACATTGGCGGCGATGAGGGGTTCAGTGTCTTGCCCATGGACACGTTGGCATGTGACTGCTGGTGGATTCAAACCCCCAACTCTTGCATTGGAGGACAACTGCACTAACCACTCAGCCACAGCCGCCCCCAAGACAAGGGGTGACAAGAGCTTTTCTCAACTGCTCAAGGAACATCCTTCTCTTGTTGTTTTTCCCTGACATCCAAGTCGGGTTGATCTCCTGCCATATCACAAAGGCATTATATAAGGACACATCAATGATGCTATGGAACCACAGGGGCCAGTGTGCAGTCATCCTTCTGCAGCTACACTTCCAATAACTTTGTCGAGGTTGTCCACGCCTCCTTTATTGCAGTTATAGTCGAGGATGATGGCTGGCTGGCTTCCTGTCCTCACCATCACTGATTTCAGTTGTCTTGTGCAGTGTGCTCAGCAGAGCCATGATCTTGTTCCTTTTTAGAAGATAAGAAACAAGATGGTGGTGGGAGTGAAGGCAAACTTTGATGAGAAGACCGCTCTGCCTCTTGTTGCGAGGAGCGCACAGAGGGGTTCAAGCTTATTCTTCCAAACAGTGCCAACCATGGTTGTCTTCCTTTTCAGGAGCTGCTGGCCGAGTTCATAGGAGGTGAAAAATTGGTCACGTGACATTGTGCCCCCTCAGTCCAACTGTCAATTCAAGCACAACCTGCATCCCCTGGTTCTTCTCTGGTGCTCCACTCGGCAGCTGCCCTGTGTACACTTGCATATTCCATGCATAGCTGCAGATCAAGAGAGCAGGTCAAATGCAAGTTCCAGTTTCTTTGATGTGTGTGTGTGTTAGAAAGAGTTTGTGTGTGGCCTTTGAACTTTTTTCTGGTGTTTAAATGCTTTTATAATTCACGGGTCAAAAATGACCCATAAGACAATCTTTGTATCCTAGTGGTGTACAGCCCACATGAAAACAAAAACAAAGTATCGTTTTTTCTAATGATTGGGTCCCTTTAGGAAAAGTCATAAAATTTCAAGTTGGAAAAATATAGTTTAAGGTATTTTTTCTACAGCTAAACAGGGTAGTGGGTCACTTCTGACCCACAAGACAACACAAGGGTTAAGATTAATCCATCCAGAGGACCTGACTTGACCTTCTTAAAATTATTAATGTTCAGATCAGAACAGTTATAATGAAAACAATAAAAGTATGTTTTTATAGTAAAAGCTTGTCATCTTATGGATGTATTTGGCTCTCTTACCTGTGTCTCCAGAGGAAGTCCTTCTCCTGCTCTGAGAGCTCATACAGAGGATCTTTAGAGCAAAGGGAGCAAAGCTGCTCTGAATCAGCTGCTGAAACACTGTTGTCACAGGCCAGACGACTGGTCTAAAGCAGACAGAAAGATGGGCAGAGATCAGGATGGACAAAAATGAGACAAGAGACTTATTTTTTAAAATCTTATCCAAAGTACTATACAAACATATGACTTTAATTGTATAATTAAGTGCAGCTAGCAATAGTTGATCCACACAAATAGGATGAAGCAATTTTTAGTGTTAGTTATTGTTTTTTACCAATGTTAGTGCAGTTTTTCCCTAAACTGTAGGCATTGATAAAGAGAATGCTGAGCCTAGCCACCCTGTAAAGATAAATGGTAGATGGACTGTACTTATATAGCGCCTTTCTATCTTATTTCAAGATACTCAAAGCACTTTACACTACAATCTGTGTCCTCATTTACCCATTCATACAGCACTCTACTAGATCTCTACAAAGCTAATTGAACAAATCATTCTCATGAGACTAATCAGTGCTTTATCACATTCATACACCGATGGGACACACATCAGAGGCTATGAGGGGTTCAGTGTCTTGCCCAGGGACACTTCGACATGTGACTGCTGGTGGATTGGAACCCCCAACTCTCACATTGGAGGACGACTGCTCTAACCACTCAGCCACAGCCGCCCATTCACTTATATGTGGGAGCTCGTGTTTTTCAGTCATGGTTCATTTGCCATGATTATAGGGGAGGTTTGGAACCAAATCAGACCAATAAATGGAGAACTTTGTCTTTGTCTTTTTTCTCAGCTCCTACTCAATGGGCACCTGGTGGTTGAGCCTTATTTTCATAGTCTTGCCCAGCTGGAAAACCTACAGAAAGCCATCTCCATGTAGGTTCATAGTCTACAGGGTGAGTATTTGAGGACACATATCGGGTGAGTCGGTTGGCAGGTAAGAGCAGGACCCTGGGCATGCTGATTTCTGTTGTCATGAACTCGCTTTAAGTACATGGAATGTCACAGAGCTGGTGGTAATGAAGCTGTAGCTTGTGTATGAGTTGCAGAAAAAACCAATTAGGTATAGTTGGGCTCATCTCCACACACAATAAGGCTCTGAAACTCACTTCCTGGAGAGGTGCTGGACTCTCCCCTCTAACAGAATTGTCTACAAAGTGACAAGTGTCAGGCAGGCATGGGACTATTCACAAGCCCCCTGCCAAGAAGGTCAACTTTCAGAGGGAAGACTCTGACTGTTGCTAGTGCTTATATACCAAACAGCAGTTTAGACTACTTGGGCTTCTTTCAGACTCTGAACAGTGTCTTGGGATTATGATTTTTTTTCTCCTGGTGGACCTCCTTGCCCATGTAGAGGGGATTAAATGGGAGGTAAGGCCTCCCAGATTTAAACATGAATGTTGTTCTGTTATTGTACTTATGATCTGTTCTGTTTTATTCATAACAAAAAACATGTCTGAGTATAGGGCAATTAATAATTGTACTTAGTACCAGGCTATCTTGAGCCAACAGGCATTCATTTTGTACATGTATCATCTGAACAACTGCAGAACAATGTATGTGACTCTCAGATAAAGACAGGGGCACAAGTTTTATCTGGAGCCCAGAATATTGAACCTGTTGAACCCCTAACAAATAATGAACTGGAAATGTCTGTTAGCAGCCACAAGACATCAGATGTGGAGTGGCACACTATGGTGGTGGTCACCATTTTTATTAAGGACCACAGAGTGTGTTTCAATGATTAGAGGGTCACACAACTGAGCTTCCATAGAAACGTTTACTCCAGTTTGTTGAAAGAGAGGCTCTAACCTAATGTCAAACTTCAGATTCAGTAGGAGCAGTGTGACCTTTGTCAAAGTCATGGAACAGATCATCATCTGTGCAGACTTGCTAAAGGGGTCATGGGAGGTGGGCTATTGACAAAGCTTACAACTGTTTTTCTAAAGGTATTCTGTGGGGTGTGTTGCAGGTGTATGAGGTGCTGGGGTTACTTTTAATAGCTATCTAAATTAAATAAGAGCTGAGTCTGCATTCTTTGCACAAAGTAAAGGCCTGTTCTAGTATGGGTTGAACTCTATGAAGACTCCACAATGTTTCTTATCTTGTTAGGGGTGTTGAACCAGGATTTAATGATGCATTCATGGAGAGGAGGGTATCTGGTTGGGGAACGGCATCTCTAAATTTAACAAATGATGTGGTTCCGTTGGCATCTTCATCACAGGGGGGCGAGGTGGCACAGAGGTTAGAGAAGGTGGGTCTGAGATTGGAAAGTTGCTGGTTCTACTCCATGGACTGACATCATCAAAATGTGGGTGGAAAGGTGAAACACTCATGCCTGCTTCCACCCTCATTTGCCCCACTCTGTGCCCTTGAGCAAGGCCCTTAACTCCCACCATCTGCTCCCAAACAGGTCTCTCTTGTAAACAAGTCCTCATGACTGAATGAGACTACTTGTATAAATAAAGGTTAAATAAAATAAAGTTTAAATAAAAATCTTCAAGACATGACCCTCAGTGCGTGTGAAGTTGTGTTGATGAGAGTCGGCTCATCAAATTCTGAGGCCATGGTTCTGAACAGGAAAAAAGTGGCACGCTCCCTCCAAGTTGTGTGATTACTCTGTTTCAAGAAAAGGAGTTTAAGGATCTTGGAGTTTTACTCATAAGTGATAACAGGACAAAGTAGGAGATAGTCATTGCTTAAGGAAAGGGAGGTCTGAGATTGTCATCATTGTATGTTCCCATACAATGGCGAAATTAGTTCTCTGCATTTAACCCATCCCACGTGAGATGCACTCAGGTGGAGCAGTGGGCAGCTATGTAAGCGCCCAGGAAGCAATTAGGGATTAGGTGTCTTGTTCAGAGACACCACGACATGTGGGAATGGCTGGGAGTTGAACCGCAACTTTCTGGTTCCAAGTCGGCTGCCCTGCCTCTACCCCATCTCGGCCCCTGAAGCACTTAATGGATTATAAAAACAAACTAGATACAATGAAAATACCATTTAAATGCTGTGATCAGTGAAGAATGCACAGTTAAGTGTGAAACCAGTGACAAGCTACACTTTTCTGCAGAGACAATATATAATATTAACATCTGTGTTACTGCAGATGCCTTTAGCTTCATCAGATACTTGTTCTTCATTAAAGAATACCCTTGACAAAAAGGAGGATGAAAGCTAACCAGTCCATGGCAGTAGTTGTAGCCTAGCTCTCTGCTGATGGTCCAGTTGGCGTGTTCTTCAATCTGCTGCTCATCAGGAAACACAACCATCTGGTTAAACCAGGAGAACTCCAGCTCCACACAGGGAGTCTCCTGCAGATCGATCAGTTATCAGTCAGTAATTGATCAGCTGATCAATGATCAATCTCATGATTTCAAACAGACAGAGATACCTTGTTAGGATTTGAACCAGCTACTCCAATGGGGTTCAGCAAGTCTTCGAGGCCGTGGGGGACTGGCCAGAGACTCAATGCTACCTTACCAGAAACCAGGATGTCTTTGTAGTCAAACAAGTTGACGTTCCCCCAAGCTAGGGGACAGTGCTCCTGGGGAGGACAAGTGAGGCAGGGACAGAGGGGCAGGTGAGTGGGCTTGTACAGGCATCCTCTCACAAAATACAGGTCTCATTCCTTTCCTACCTCCTTGGCTCCTTTCCTTCCCTTTACAGAGCAGATCGACAGACAAAGTCTAGCTGAGCGAGGGATATCTGCCAGGTAGATGTCGTAGGTTAGCCACTCATTCCACCTGAGCACAGGTATGTAGAGACACATAGATACAGAAATGGCTAAGAAAGGAAAAGTCAGATAGGTTAGGGTTGTTCAAATTACATTTCTGTTTGACGTGTCTTACCTGGGGTTGGAGCAGGGGACTCTCTGTGTGTTGACATTGTCACACAGTGGCTCTCCTCCATGATAGATACCTGTCCTCACATAGATCTACACAGATACACACACGTCAGGTGTGATGCAGTGTGTTAGAGGGTGTCACTAATGTAGACACTCATGTAGGTGGATCAAGGAGAGGTACTGAGAACAGAATGGTGGACAGGAACAGAAGACAGAGAACATGTACCTTATCAATGTCCCGGATGTTGACGTTGACGTAGGTGGCACAGAGCAGCCGAACCCTCAACAGAGTGTTAAAGGCCCACAAGGAGCGAGGAGGAGAACCGTCACCTCCACCTAGACAGGGAGATGGTTGAGGCGTCCTCCGACTGAAATACAAACACCTGACATCACCTGGAGACCACCTTTACCTGCTCCTGATTGGCTGTTGCTGACCCTGACTGATTGCTTTACCTGTAAGAAGGCGGGGCGAAGCTGGAGGCCGGAAGCTGAGAGTAGAGACTGTCTTTGGACACAAGCATCAGGTGAGGAAGACGTCCTACGATGATACATGAGCGGATGTACTGTAGACCAAGAAGTAGCAGGACAGGTGGTGACAGGTGAAGTTCAAGTAGACACAGAGGGAGGACAGACAGCTGAAGGATTTTTTTTTAGAGAGAAGTGATTACCTTATACTGACTGAGGGGAAACTTCTCCAGCAGGTACTCATCACAGCCACATACCTGAGAGACACACAGATAATCACAGGTGAGACAAGTTTTAACAACACACACAGGTAACACAGCCAGACAGGTGAGACACACAGGTGAGACAGGAGACACACACAAGGTAAGAGAGGTGAGACACTTAAAACTTTTCTCTGACCAATGTACAGGTACTGTAGGTGTTACTGAAATACCACATCTGTCTTATTTATGCCAGTGGAAGTTTTGTCTACTGACAGTGCACTTACTGTAGCTTAAGGAGCTTTTTATTAAATAATGTCAACTATACTATAATAATAATAATAATAATAAT